TATATATATATATATATATATATATATATATATATATATATTAATATTAATATTAATGGTGATGTTAAAGATATCATGAGATATCATGTGAAAACCGAGAAACAAAGAAATTAACAATAAGGTTACTGCCATAAATATAAAGAAATATCTTTCATAGATAACAAATTCTCCCAAAGGGAATATGTCTGATTGCATTGATAAAATAAACAAGTAACCTTAGTGGATGTAGGCCTATAATCTATTATGTAGCAATTGATTTGCAATGTATTTTTATCAAGAAGGCAAACTCCATCCAATAAAAGTAGCGGCATAATTGTTTTTCTCTCATTAAAACAAACGTGTGCTTTAAATAAGTGCATATAACTTAGAGACAAAGCTTTGATGACAGAGTTAAAAGTCCTTGCTGGCAGAGGAAAACTATACAAAGTCATAAATTCTTTATGCTCGAGTACACGGGGTATGTGTTGCTTGCTGGAAGTGAAAGGGTGGAGAACGTGAAGTTTACATCTGTCAAAAACCGTCTTACTTGTTCCCGAACTACCATTCAAACTTGCAGGTATGATTTTTCAGACATGTCATGTTTGGCATAAAACCGAAAATACAAATTTGTCTTGGTTTGAAGAACTTTTTTATTTGTAACCGGCAATTATTATGCGTGTTGTGTCGTGTCACTCTAGCGTTCAGGAATATTCTGGATTGTTGAAGAGGGTGGAGAGCTAGAGAAACTTTACTGGGTGCTGTTTTGTTTGCTTGTTTAATAATAAAGCCAGTTCAAACGTTGATTTACGAAATTTAAACTGTAGCCTCTTCATTTCATAAAACGCCTAAATATAAAAGCCTAAACTGATAAAAATTAGGAAACTTTTATTTTCTTATTAATACTTTTTCTTATACTGTACATGCAATATATAAATCAAAACTCTTCGACCAGTGCAACATAAGCTCGTTTGAGCGGAACCATTATTCTTCTGGACATTTCAGGTTCACCTCATAAGTTAAAAATGACGGCACACAAACATTACTTCACAGCATTACCGAGTGATCTCGTGTTTTCTTTAGAGAGCAAAGTCGGAGAATCTGTCAGCTGCATTCAGTGTGAAGGCGAGCTCGAGAGCTCCGGTAAATGATTGCGCGCTGGTATTCGAGGTTCGTTACTAACACGTTTTACCAGTTTAACAGCATTCAAACCTTTTTCCTTATCTTGTGTCACATTTCCTATGAATTCCATGTTTAACGATTAACAAAACCCGAGTCTTTTTCTCCAATGCCAGCCTATGCAATAATGGTGGATAAATGTCCTTGTCTCTATTTTCCCCCTCTCCTGTCTCTCAGCTCAGTATGTCTGTTTTTTTGGCCCTGCTGACTTTTAGAATTCATCTCCTTTAAAACACTTTTTGGAATCTTACAAGTAGCCTGTTTATTTGTTTGTGTGAAACTGTCTCCAAAGTGCATTATTAATGATAAATTATTGTTTTAAATGCATTCAGAAATGACATTGTAAACATTTTTGGAATGAAATAAATTGTCTTGCCTTTTGCTAAGTCTCTTTTACAGCTGACAATTAAATGCACACAGTTAAATAATATTTCAGACTTTTTGTGGTTGACAAATTTGAGTTAATGTATAACAATGAAACTCTTCCAGGTAAGTTCAGTGTTTCAGAAAAGTGGGCATATGTTTGTGTGGGTATGTGCTTTCTTTTCTGTTCTTATTAAATATCAGAATAAATGCTTATACTCATAAGACACATACACTTGAGAATATGTCTGAAAACTGACAAATGCTCCTTTTTTGATTAAAAAGCTGTACTTCATCAGTTGTAAAGGATGAGTGACAGAGGCCAATGCAACAAACTTTTAGTTACACACAGCTTGACTGCTCTCACTGATAACCTGTTCACTCCAGCTTGGTGTGACCACATAATTTTTATGTTAAACTTAGTCACCTGTTCAACTCTGTCATGTTGATCAGATTCTCTTTCGTTTTTGTTCTTTAATATTATGGCATGATTTCTCGGATTTATATACATAGACACACATGACCAAAAGACTTTCAGAATGATAGTATTTATGCTGTAAATAGCTGTACAACTAATTTTAAGGGTTGTTTTATATAAATAGACCACTAGGGGGCATTGATGTATTAGTTGTAGACTCGGATCATAACGTCTGCCTTTGCATTGCCACATCTAGCACTTTTACATTTGTTTACTAGATGTGACTGGTATATTGACAGCATTTTCCTTCTGTGATCTTCCTGACATTGATATCCATGACACTGATAGTGTCCAGATTTAATTCAGTCTCTCTTGGGTTTGCAACATTAGCTTTAATAAAAGGTGGAACAGTTACAATAAAACAGAACAAAATTTGGTGAAAGATTTATTTTGCATACTATATCGAATAAAGGTGATATGACCACACACTCACTTGCAAATACTATGTGGTGAGTGTGCGGTCATATCTCCTTTATGCAGATTTGTCATCTTTGACCTGCACCTCGGATGGTGTGCATTTGCTTAAGTGTTTTGTTAAGCAACCATATACTATATCAAAACCAGATCC